TGCAGTTAAATTACAGGCAGTTGCACTGAGAGGTCGTAAAGAATCAACCGAAGCAGCTCTTAGTTGCTCAAAAGGATGGAGTTGCATAATTAACTAGGCGGAAGGAGAGGAGTCAGAGGAAGAATATTTGGCAAAGATGCCCTAGACCACAAAGAAAGTAATGAAAGTACGGTATCGTAGCGATCATAGAGGCTTGCTCACAAGATACTAGTAACCAGTGACGAAGCTACTGTCCGCACCAGCTGGTCACAGTGCCCTTAGCGCCACATGAGGGGTCATGGGGGTATGCCGGCACTTCGAGACACGGGTATACCAGCAGCCCACGTGGAACCGGCATACTGGTCAGAAGCACAAAACAGGGTTACTAGACCCCGAGCCTTGATCAGAGCCGACATTGCAAGAAGATGAACTCCATGAATGAAGAGGGGTATGAGCAGAGAGAACTGGATAACTCCTCCTCTTGACCAACCAAGGGAAAACAGAAGCAGGAAGTCTCAGGGCAACTGGTGAAGGAAAAAAAAACTATAACTATCTGATGAAGAAAAAACTATAACTATGATAGCTGACGAGATCCCTCAACGAATAAAGGTGCTAGGAAAATAGAGCTGCTAAAATTCTAACAGACTAAGCGTCCAACAGAGAATCGAAGAATGAATACGTGATAATACATGAAGCTAAACGCTAGATAGCTCTATGTAGAACCCCTAACATCCAGTTAAGTCAGCATCAAGTTCCAGCTGTGGCTTATAGGCACCAGCGAAGGGAGTCTCCAGTGACGCGCACAACAGCTGACACGGAAGGGAGGAACATTACTGAAAAGGAAAGAGCTACACTATGTCATGTGGAGGAATTCAGAATTTGACCAAGATTCACCTTGTTTAATCTTCTTTTGAACGAAGAACTACTGACTGATCCAAGTATTTCTGGGGGTAGCGAATTCAACCATCTAGCACATCGGTAAAATATGACATTCAGCGTCAAAGCACGATGTCTAGGGCCAACGCGAGGGTAGTCCAGGTTAAACCCACCTCGCCTACCTCCAACTGGTCTGAAGAGCCAGTACTTACTGCAGCGGAGTTTAGATTCCCTACGGAGGACACGAAAGCAGAACACTAAATCAGCAATCACCCGCCTAAACTGTAAACGATTTCATTGAAAACACCTTTAGGCGCTCTTCATAACTGGGCAAATCACTGCGACCAGTGTTACGCGTAATGCGGTACCAAAGGAGGCGGGTGAACACACGCTGAACCCTTCTCAATTTTACTGATATACTTCTTAATATAAGGGCTCCAGATCTGTGAGCAATATTCGAGATGTGGCAGTACATAGGCCTTGTATAGACGAGTGAGCACTGCCGCATCCGAAGATTGCACATTACGGAAAAGTGCGAATAAGTTGGTGAGAGGTTTCTCTACGGCTTGGTTAAAGGCAGCGTCCGCGTTCAGTTGAGATTTTCCTCTCCCTTCGTGAGCAGGTAGTCAGGTCCGCAGAGGCAACAACTACACCACTTTCGCGGCACAAACGAGTGAGGATACCCACGATGCCGTCGTTCTTCTCATTGGCCCAATCTCATCATCATCATTTATTACATGAGCGAACTCATGTGGCTACACATCAGCCTACAAACAATGAAACAGAACATCCGAGAAAGTCCCGCACGGGAAAAACAATAATACCACAAAAAAGTTTCTAAAATGTGTAAATGTTATCAAAATAAAACAGGGAAGAGCCGTTTAAAGAGAAGGTGTAAGAGAAGCCATCATCATCATTTATCCAGGTAGCA